CAGAGCAGGAGTTTTGTGTGAGTGTCCTCTGCCCATTGCAGCTAAACCAATAGAGTCCTGCCTAGTGCCAAGGCAGGATTGCACAACCAAGGAGAGCGTTGCATGGCGTGATGGATGGCTGAGGAGCAAACAGAGGTTTACTGGGTCCGGTGCCAGATCACACACCTTGTCCACCCCATTCAGAACCTGGCACCGGCTGGCAGGACACACACACACGTCTGCACCACCCAGGAAACCAAGCTCAGGGCCAGGCTGAGCTGGGGCAGAGGGACGTGTGTTACTGCAATACTCATAACCCAGCTCTGTCGGCTTCCTGGCTGGGAGCTGCTTCCTCGAGGTCTCCAGCACTGGTGGAGGGGATCTCCCAGTGCGTGGCAATGGCCATCCTTGGTCACACACTGCTGGGAGCCTGGCAGCAGTGCTGAGGTGAGCCCAAGCACCCTGGTTAATCGTGTGAGCCAGACTGTGGTAGCACAAACGCTTCCACTTGAAGGCCATGAGTACCTTGGACCATATTTGCAGACAGAAAAGCTGATGTGGCACCAGTTTCAGAAATAAGGGAGTTTATCCAGGGATGGCCAGAAGGAGGTTAAGTATTGTCCCACAGGGAATGAACTCTTGGTCCTGAGCACAATTCCCACAGCTACACCTTCATGATCCTTGACTACAGTGAACACATCTCCCTTTTAACCGACCTGCTGGGTGTCTGTTGGCCTGGAGCAGCAGGATCTGTTACCCTCTGCTTTTGCAGTGTCACCTGAGGCTGTGCAGAGCTTCCAGCATGTCTGGCATATTAGAGAGCTTGAAGGGATTGTGGCTCCAGGATGGTGCAGAGACTGAAAGTACAAATGACTCGGAAAAGTGGGCAATGCAGGAGGAGGTGGACATGTTGGCTGTACAGCGGCCATTGAAGAGTGCTCTGGAGCAACCTCTGCCTTGGCTCTGAGCTGCTGTTAGCTGGGAGGTGGACATTAACCAGGAGAAAAAAGAAAAGAGGAGAGATTCATGTTAGATATAAGGAAGAGGCTCTTCCCTTCCCTCATCAGCAGCAGCTGATGGAGGTTATCACACCCTTCCATCCGAAACCGAACAGCAAACCCAATGCCAATTGTCTCAGCACACCCCTCTGCTTCCCACTTGGAAGAGCCAACGGGGCTGCCTCAGCTTCCCCATGTGTGTGCAGCCTACAAAGAGGACCTTGGTGAGGCCTCCTTTCTGTGTTTCCTTCCTGCTTCTGATCAGCACCAGATACCTCCTCATGCTGTACAGGTTGTTGTGCTGGGGAGCCTGGCTGGACCGACCAAGGGCTGCAGTGGGATCCAGGCTGGATCAGCACTGCTGGAAAACCTGACTCTCATCAGTGCCTGAATGCAGAGCTGGGACCTGGGTGTTACGGGCTTGTTTGCATTGACCCTGATCTGCTGTCCAGGCTGAGACCAGCTCTTCAGGCTGAGAACCTGTGTTTCGAATTTGGCTTTTACAGTAAATCAGGAGTGCTGAAAACATAAAATGAAAGCAAAAGCCACGTGGAAAGGAGCCGTGCTTTCCCTGGTGAATCACCCCAGGGCATGTGTTTATTAAAGGCAGAAATACAGTGGTGGAGATAAGGAACCTGTCTTTCTGCCTGTGGTCCAGTTCTGGTTGCATGAATAGGCTGATGGTTATGGTTTATGGGTGGCTCTGCAGACAGCATCAGTGCAAACAGAACAGCTTCATTGCTGCAGGCCTTTGTGAAACACCCTCTGCCAGTGGGAGCAAAGAATGCTGCTCGTGATGCTGCACCTCACCTTGACCCTTTGGAGCATAAAGCTTGTGAATGCTCCACGCTGAGCAAGGAGTGAGCTCCAGTTTGCAACCATGTCTCAGCCAGCAGCTTTAACACATCAATGACAGGACATTGTCCATGGGCATCACGTCTGGTCCTCCTGAGCTTTGGTGCTGCCTGTTCTGGTGGTCTTCTCTGCTACAAAGTGCTCTGGAACTACATTGTCCTGCTTCTCCTCCGTGCTGACCCTGGATGAACCATCTTTGGCCTCCCAGCTTCTACAGCTGAGCTGCAGTTTGCTGGCAGCAGTGTTCACACCAGGCTCCACTCACACTCGGTAGCCGATTGGTTCCCCTCTGCTGATGCATCTTGCAGAAGCTGCTTGGTGAAAGCAGGTTGCTTGGGAGCTTTGCTTTCCCCTGTATGTGGTATTGGGTTGATCACTGCACAGGAGGGTGATGCAGAGAGCTTGGAACCTGTCATGCAGGGCTCAGCTGCAAAATCCTGATCTCTTTTTCTCTGGCGTTACTTGAATGAAATACAAAGTTCATTTTCCCACTGGAGACTGACACAGTGCGTTTCACCTGTAGGGAAGAGACTTAATGGGATGCAGTCCTCTAGGAGAGTACAGGGACATGGTTCTTACTACAGCTAACCAACAGAGATGGGTACAGAGGAGGGGAGCCTTCCAGAGGAGGTCCTGGGCTGCCCTCAGCGGTTAAAGAAGAAGGACCTGAGGGTCTGCAGGCACTTTGACTTCCTTCTCTGCTTCTGCTTCTTCCGGATAATGGGGATCCAGACCAGGCCACAGACAAGGAGCATCAGTCCCAGGGACAGGAAAGCCGGGCCACACATTTTGTAGACTTTTTTGTTGTTGCTTTGGATGCAAGTCAGGCTGGTGATGATCACCCCGAAGAGGAAGACGCCTGCTCCAACAGACATGACAATGACAGGCTTGTGGTATATGTTCCACTTGCTTCTGGATGTGTTGGTCCAGACAGACTCGCTCCGGGAGCTGATGCAGAGGGTGCTGGCTGTGTTACTGGTCAGCAGCTCCTTGGACTGAGGAGACTTCTGACTCCCATCAGGGCTCTTGGGGGGAATTTCCATGGTGACAGGATCTGGAGAGGAGACCTGAGATGGACAAAAGAGAAAAAGCAGAGCAGGGCTAGTGGTGGAGGATGGATTGGGTGCTTTCCGTTTGGTCATTAATCAGTGTCAAGTCAAATGAAGGTGGAGAAGGCTTTGTCACTGTGGGGAGAGAAGAACGCCACACCTATGAGAGCAGTGAGATGTAGAAATAGGCAACAGGGTTCTGCAGGTAGGCTGGGATGGGGATGCCTGCAGTGTCCCACTGCCCGCCCATGAACAGACTCCTGCAGTCCTTGTCCATAGACCTTCCAGCTCACCAGCTTCCAGCTCCCACAGTGGTTCAGTGGTGGGATCCCACAGGTGTCCATTGGAACCCACTATCCTGAGCCCCCTAGGGCTCTTGGCTGCTTTCAGGGCAGTAGCAGGGTGCCGCTAGCAGGGCTGGTGATGCTGCCCCTATCCCTGGACCAGCTTTCCCTCTCAGATCCCAGTTACACCTCAGCACCTTGTGGCATGGTCATGTCTCCCTCTTGCAAGTGGGGAAACTGAGGCATAGTTGTGCTATATGGGAGAGCAGAAAACACTCTCCTATGGGCTGAGCACTTCCTTCGGGCCCTGGGGTTTGCTGTTCCTCACTGCCACATCCAGCCTTGGCGTGCCAGCCTTCCACTAGTGGCCACACAGGAGCTTCTCATTTCCTATTTGAATGCACAGATGGGAGATGGGGAAATGCTCATCATACAGGGAATGTTTCTGCAGCTGGAAGCTGGGCAGGATGCTGCGGGAGGTCTCTGGAGCTCAGCAGCAGGAGCACACCGACATGCTCTGCCCTGCAGGGTCAGCAGGGTGGCTTTTCAGCACATTAGTTTTTCACCAACTCAGGGGGGAAATGCATTTTCCCAGAAACAAAGTGCCTTTAGCACGGAGCAACCATTCTGGTAAATGGGAAGGGCTGAGCATTACATTAACCACTATTTCCTTACGACTCTGCTGAGGAGACAAAGGCAGGAGGCTGGATCTGGGATTGCTCCTGATGCACAGTCGGCCCTGCTGCTGGGAAGCCCAGCAGAGCTGAACCCATGAAGGTACTGGAGCTGGGGCTGGGGCTGATTCACACCCAGGAATCATCACTACAATGCAAACTCCTGCCTGAGCCTCCGGGTTTTCTCCCAGGGGCTCAGTGGTGTCAGCAGGGCTGGGACTGCCCTGTCCTCTGATGGGCACTCAGCTGTCCCCACATGGGGATGCTCTGCACCATGTGAGCTTTGAGCCTAAGTGGGCTTGGATCTGAAGCACCTGATCTAAAACTCTGCTCCAGCCCTAGGCACTGTCTTAAGGAAACCTGCTTGTATTTAGCTCATACTGGGCCCAGTGCCCACCTAGGGATGCTGATGGCTGGGTACCAGCCAGCACTTTCCTTATTCTTCACCCTGTGTCCCCTGCCAAGGGTTGTGATTTATTCTGAGAAGAAACAGACATAGTTTTTCAATTGAGCCCCCCCAGCACAGACACTGGTGCAGAAATGCAGATCTGGTGGTATCCACGTGTTTTGTGATGTTTCAGGTTTGCCAGACTTGGACCAACAAGCAAAAATCAAAAGGCAAGAGCAATGGACATGGTTTGCATCCTTCTTGTCTTCAGCTTTCACCCTCTCTGTTGAACCAGGAAAGACAGAGCAGAAGAGGGGACACGTTTCTGCCATCCTGATGTGTCTCCTACAGCACTTGATCAGGGGTGATCAAGCACTTGACAAGGCAGGTGAGTTTTAGCATAGTAGCAAGCTGTGGTTTCTGTTTTCTCTTCTCTTTTGAGCTGCAGGTGGACTGATGGCAGTGAAGGATGCTGACCCCTTGGTTTTGGAGAAGCAGGAGCTGCCATGAGATGTTGCTTTGATGGCTACAGCTGCATTGGACATGCAGGGGATTGGGCACAGCTTCCTCTGCTCACCTCATTGCTCCTGTAAGTTCTGGCTCCAGGCAGCCACAGGCTCCTCAGGTAAAACCAGATACTGACAGTGACGTCCACTTCCTGAGGAGACACCGGGGCTGGATCTGCCTCCACCAACACATTTGCTCTGCTTCCACCTATGCACCTAAGCAACCTGCACTGGAGTCAGCCCAGACCTCCAGAAAACCCATCAGCTCTGCAGAGATGTGCCCAGATCCTGGATAACTTCTTGCTTGTCTGGTGTGTGCAGCCTGTTCACCATCTGACTTGCCCATAGCATTGCTGGGTTGTGATCCCCCTGTTCCAGCTCAAACCTTTCATGGAATCAGAATCCCAGCCTGGTTTGTGTTGGAAGGGACATTAAAGCTCAACCAGTCCCATCTCCTGCTATGGCAAAGCCCCTCTCTAGGTTTCTTTGGGCACTGGAGCTGCTCTAGGGTCTCCCCGAGGCCTGAAATTTCATGCCACGTAGTCATTGGCATTTCTTGGCTTTATCCTTGTAGCATCCATTGTGGAGAGATTTATGCTCAAGCCACTGTATAATTTCAATTTGGCTTTGTGACTGGAAACCTGCTTTCTGCTCTGGAGAAAGGCCCAGGTCTCATCTCTCAGCAGGCTGATGCAGCCTGTGCTGCCCCATCGCTCAGGGGTCCTCTGAGCTCTGCAGAGCGTTAGCGTCTGGATCTTGCAGAAGCCATCACCTTCTGCTCAGGTTTGCACTTACACCACAGGGGATGTTTCCTCCCCCTTTTGTGTTCTGACAAACCCACCCCTCACCATTCCCAGACATTGGCCATTTCTGTAGCCCTTCCCAGCAGAGCGTGGCTCTGGTCACACATTTCCTCACTGTTGGCTAGGGAAGGATTTCACTTCCTGCAAGTGCCTGGGACATTGTCTGTGAGCACTGCGTGCATCTGCAGCTCTGGGGAGAGCTAATGCAATTTCAGTTCCTGTTCTGCCTGTGCTCCATCCCTAATTCATCACAGACGTGCTCATACTTGAAGATGTCCTGAGCAGCCCGGCAGGATAATGCTATCAGGTCCCTCCCAGGTTTTCAAACTATTACCAGTGTAAGGAGCAGATGAATGCTCGCTGCCTTGAAAATGCCTCCAGAGCACATCTTGGATTTCATGTCTGGTGTTTGCGCTGCTGCTGCCTCTGAAATCCTGGGCAGCTGCTGGCACTGGAGCCAACACTGGGGTTTTCTTCCTCCCCTCTCCATAAGGAAGAGCCTTATGGGATTCTGTTTCTCCTCCCTTTGCTCTTCCAGAGCTTTGTGTGCTGATGTTTGGTTTCTGAGCTCAGAGACCCACTGGGGCACACTTGCTGGTGCTGATGGGGACCCCAGTGCCAAGGCAGCAGAGTACACAGTTAGAAACCTCCTAGACCCTGGGGACATCACATGGTGGTGCTGAGGAGAGAGCTTTGGACTGAGAAGCATCCAAGTCTCGTCCCTGGGTCCCTCAGCCCACCCCACACCAAGTTCTGCGATGCTGCAGTGATGGCCAGAGCTGCACTGAAAGCAGAGCAGCAGCCTGATCTGAAGGGTCTGGTCCTGTGCACAGACCTGTGTCCTGGCTGTGCAAGAGCTCGATTTACTCTCCCAATTCCATTCTCAGCCTGTCCATCTCATTTTCATTGGGTGACAGCCCTGATTCTATGAGTCCTGACTGTTTGGCTATGGGGGACTGCACTCAGCTCTGGGGCAACAGCACAAGAGGGACATGGAGCTGTTGGAGCAAGTCCAGAGAAGGCCATGGAGATGCTGCAAGGGCTGGAGCAGCTCTGCTCTGGAGCCAGGCTGAGAGAGCTGGGCTGGGGCAGCCTGGAGAAGGGAAAGCTCCTGAAGGGGAGACCTTAGAGCAGCTCCAGTGCCTAAAGGGGCTGCAGGAAACCTGGAGAGGGGCTTGGGACAAGGGATGGAGGGACAGGGCAAGGGGAATGGCTTGAACCTGCCCGAGGGGAGACTGAGCTGAGCTCTTAGGCAGAAGCTCTTCCCTGTGAGGGTGCTGAGGCGCTGGCACAGGGTGCCCAGAGAAGCTGTGGCTGCCCCATCCCTGGCAGTGCTCAAGGCCAGGTTGGACACAGGGGCTTGGAGTAAACTGCTCCAGTGGAAGGGGTCCCTGCCCCTGGCTGTTCCTGGTGGGGGTGGGCTCTGCCCTGCTCGTGGGGAGGTGCTGATGTGGGACAGGACCCTGTGAGCTGTGAGGGCAGGACCGAGCGCTGGGAGCTCACTCACCATTCCGAGGCTCTGCTGTCCCGGCTGTCCCTGGTGTGTATCTGCTCACTGCAGGATGCGGGGCTGGCGGCAGCACTGAACATCCCCCGAGCTCCTCACGAAGGAACCCAGCCACCAGCTCCTGTAGGCACCGCAGGGGCGGCTCAGAGCATCCGGCTTCCTGCTGCTGTGTCAGCCCCAGGGGTTGGATCCTGAGTGGGCTCTGCCCTGGGAGGAGACAGGGAGAGCTGTGCGGTGCCAGGCATCAGTGCTCACAGCCCATCCTCTCTCCTCCCATCCCCACGTCCCTGCTGCCCGCAGTGTGGAGCGGGCTGGCAGTGGCTGTGTAGGCTGTCCCAGCACACTGACTGCTCTGCTCCGAGACCTGGGCTGGAGGAGCAACTTCACATTACCCACAAACCCCACCAGATCATGGGGGTAAACTGAGATGGAGCCAGTGTCCATTTGCTGGTGCAGCAGAGCTGGGTTGGGCCCAGCCACCTGCATCCCTTGGGAGCAGCTTTCCAGCATCACCCTGAGTTTAGGCAGTCCCAGCAACATGCACAGGGTCTTGCTAAGCAAAGAACATCCGCAAGTCCCTTCTTGGGGTGCAGCAAGAGGATGACCCCAGCCTTGCTGTGCTGTATCCCTGCTCCTTTCCCACCACCCTAGAGCCAAACCCATGGAAACCCATCCTACTTACGTTGAGTGGTGAGGGATGGCTGCCCACTGCACCGGCAGCGGGACAGGCTGCAGCAGAAGGTCCCACTCTCCTAAGCCAGGCTCACCCTCAGCCTCACATCCCTCTGGATGTTGTCTAATGCACTCTGTTGAGTCTAATAAACCATGGAGCACATCCCAGCTCTGATGATCTCACAGACTATCAGGATATTGTTTAACTCTTTGCTTCCCTGCCTCGGGCCCCTGCAGAGCTGTCTGCCGGGCGGTTTGCCTGGGAGGGCTCTATAGGAGGCTGCAGTCTGGGAGGCAGTGAGTGGCGTGCCAGGGTGGGTTGGTGCTTGGAGCAAGGATCTAGGATTGGGGCTGTTGCTGATCCACACTTGGACCATCAGCAAGTTCCTGACTCACATCTGGACTGCAAATTCTGCACTCTCGAAACAAGGGTCGTAGTGACTGCAAAATGCTCTGAGGCTCCTTGGTAAGACATTACAGGGATGCAAGATATGAGCAACCAGCTATTAATTAGCATCCTGACTCCATTACAAGGGGGGGGGATGCAAGAGGAAGATGGTTCTGGCATCCTGCCTCCTTTCATGGACCCACAGCCAAACGTTAATACTCTCTGACATCAGTGTGAATCCACTTGCTGCAGGGAAGGGATCCAGCCCAACACAGACATTACTGGCATCCAGGGCCGGGTTCCAGCGTCCGTGAGGCTCCCTGCATCCCCAAGGTATCTTTGTTGGGTTGATGCAGTAAGTAATGGCACGTAAGCTGCACCATGGAACTGGTCAAGGAGAGAGACGGGATGGGATAGGATGGGATGGGCAAGCAGTTGTGGTCATGGAGATGGACATGACTCACAGGGGTTGTGTGCTGCGTGAAGAGCATCCTGTAGGGCTTGAAGGGGAGGAGGAGGGTCCAGAGGGACTGTGGGTCAGCATGGGGGAAATCAGGTCCTACAGGTGTGGGGAGCTGAGGCAGGAAGAGCAGAGGCTGTCAACATGGGGTCCTTCAGCTCAGCTCTGTGGAAACCTCTGGCCAGTGGTAGGTGGACATGGGACAGGCGGTGGAGCTCTCCAGTAAGAGGCAGCCAGGGCAGCAGGCTCACAGGCAGAGAGGTGGGATGAGTTTAGCATCCTTGCCTGGGGTCTGTCCTCCCCTCTTGGTGGGAGCTGGATGAGCACAACAAACAAGCCCTGGGTGAGCTCCATTCCCACTGATCTAGGAACCAGCAGCCAAAGGAGCCATGTGCTTTTCGGGGTGTTTAGGGAGAATTTATTCGAACACATGAAAAAATCTTTAGAACTGGGAGAGTTGTGTGGATTTGGCTCCCTAGTGGAGGTCCAAGGGGTAAATTCTTTGGCCTAAAGGAGCAGTTGGGGTAAAAAAAACCCAGTAAAAACAGAGATGAAAAGGCTTCATTTCAGCACCCACAGCACACCTTGGTTTGGCACCATCTCCAGGCTGAACAGAACTTCTGCAGTGCAGGGGAGTATCCGGCCCTGTGCTTCACCAGCTACCCCATCCCATGGTCCTATTCATTTCATCCCAACCCAGCCTTGCCCCATGCTCTTTGCAGTGCCTGAGGACCAAGCTGTGGAGGCAGAGAGCAGGCAGGGGCCACAGTGGCTTTTGAACATGGAATGGGTTCGGTTGGAAGGGACCTGAAAGCTCCTCCAGCTCCAACCCCTGCCGCGGGCAGGGACCCCTTCCCCTGCAGCAGCTTGCTCCAAGCCCGTCACACCCCGCTCCTCCCGCCCCGGCACCGCTGCTCCGCGGGCTCTTGCTGCCACCTCCTGGGGACGGGGCTGCGGATGCGCTGGGCAGGGAGAGCCCCCGGCACCCCCAGGCACAGGAGGTGGAAACCTCGCCGTGGTCTGGCTTGCAGAGGTGCCTGGACACGGTGCCGGGGTGATGCGGCTCCCAGTGTGTCAGGGAGGGCTGTGTCAGCTGCAGCACATCCCTCTCTGGGGAGCCCTGTTGCCCTGCACTGCTCACCATGGCCTGGTCGCAGCTCCCTGGAGGGCACAAAATGTGAAAAAGGATCTTGTTCACCTGCCAGACCCTTTGAACAGTGAGGTCTGGTTAAGGCACGGTGACAGCAAATGGTAAGGACATGGAGCTGGTGGAGCAAGTCCAGAGGAAGCCATAGGGATGAGCAGGGGCTGGAACAGCTCCTTTATGGAGACAGGCTGAGAACATTGGGGCTGTTCAGCCTGGGGAAGAGAAGCTGCGTGGAGACCTCAGAGCAGCTTCCAGTGTCTGAAGGGGGCTACAGAGATGCTGGAGAGGGACTCTGCATCAGGGGCTGCAGTGATAGGACAAGGGGTGATGGGTTCAAACTGAAACAGGGAATTTCAGGTTGGAGATAAGGCAGAAGCTCTTCCCTGTGAGGGTGCTGAGGCGCTGGGACAGGGTGCCCAGAGAAGCTGTGGCTGCCCCATCCCTGGCAGTGTTCAAGGCCAGGTTGGACACAGGGGCTTGGAGCAAGCTGCTCCAGTGGAAGGTGGGGTTGGAGCTGGATGAGCTTTAAGGTCCCTTCCAACACAAACCAGGCTGGGGTTCTATTAAACGGAGTGTTCGGGGGCTGGGTAGGGAGGGAAGGAGCACCTTGCTTTTGGCTTTGGCTGCAGAGGTGTCACAGAGCTCCCCTGGGCAGCTGGAACCTCAGTCCCTGGGGGGCTTCAGGAATACAGGAGAGCCACCTGCAGGCATCCACTGCTGGCAGTGGAAGCAAATGGTGAACAAAGCTGATCCCTTCATCTTCTACAGGGCCAGAGTGTGGGGGGAGAGATAGGAAACCAGAACTGAGCTCGGGGGTGTGTGAGCATGAGGGGCCTGTCTGCCCACAGTGACATGAGAAAATCCTTTAACTCAGGTTAAATACAGAAACCCAAGGGGTTTCCTTCATTTTGCTCCATGGAAGAGGGCAGGGACCTGCTCAGGAGCTGGCTGGGCAGAGAGGAAAGGAAAGCTGCTCTGCTCCTGCCCGTCTGCTGTGCATTGTATCTGCAGTGGGCAATAGGATGCCCCCACCACCCTCCCCATACCTGTGTCCTCAATGGGAGCATATTTATGCTGCTAGAAAAGCATCTGCCCTGACGCACCCCTTGCTGGTGGGAGAGGAGACCCTCTTCCCAGGCATATGGCGCTGTCACAGGGGATGGGCAGGGCAAGGAAGAGGTCACAGGCTGGACGGGGCTGTGCTCAGCAGAACGCCGCTGCTGGGGCCGAGCAGGGCGCAGATGTGTGCTCATGGCTGGTTCTTGCGGCAGTAGATGGTGCTGTTGCCCAGCCCAGGAGGGTTCTGGTTCTTCTGTCTGCTCACAGGCCGGTGAAATCCAAATCAGCATCTTCCGGAGTGCTGGGTCTATCCCAGACCTCTAACACAGCAACCCGCACCCCAACAAGCCTTTTAGACACTCTTCCCCTCTCAAACCCTACAGTGCACCTGTAGGGCATTGCTTTTACAGGGCTGGCAGGATGCAGGGATCTGCTGTGTGGTCCTGTGCTGGACCAGCATCCCCATCCCAAGGGTCTCAGGCAGCGCATCCTTCTCCCTGTTGTTTGTCTCATGGCAAATTGAGCTCGCATGGTCCAGAGTCACCAGGGAGCCTTGAGCAGGCACGGTGGCAGCCAGTGCCCCAGTCACGCATCACCTTCCTCCCCTGGGATGCCACTGAAAGCTCACCTTCATGGGCATGTGCAGCAGCCCTGAAGTATGTGGTCAGCATGGCTGGGGCATTGCTTTCCTGAGCAATGTCATGGCAGGTCCTTGATTCCTGGCTGGAGCACCTCTGCATTGGCACCTATAGCACACCTAGGCTCTGGCTTCAGCACCTCTGAGTGGGAGACATGGTGCTGCAGGGCTTGTGAGGCTGGGTGCAGGAGTAAGCCCCTGGGTAGGACTTTGGTCATGGCACAGCTTGACCCAGAGGTGGACGTAGGCGTTTGACATGTTTTTTCCTTGGCTGTAGCAATGAGCAATGAGGGGACCTGATGCATCCTCCAGCATTGTCCACAGCCCACAGGGTCTTTCCTAGGCGTTCAGGACGAAGTCATCTCCAGCTGACCACACCAGAGACATGCAGAAGGATGGGGAGAGCTGTGCCAAACTGGTATGTGCATGGTGTGGGGGAATCCAGCCAGAAAACCTGGCATGGGGATGGGGCTGGAGGAAAGCATGGCAGGAGCAGCCCAGCGTTGTTGCAGGAAGGTTTTGGAGAAGCATGGGATGAGTCTACCACCAGTGCTAGGTTGTACCTGTCCTCATGGCACTGAACGCAGTAGAGGGGCTGAGAGGAGAGGGAAGGCAAAGGCATTATCTGTTGGCAAGTGATGGAAAGAGACACTTGCCAGGAAGGGGATATGAGCCCCAACCTTCTTCTCATGGAACAACTGAGGGCAGGTCAAGGCAATGCCCTTGATGTAACTGAGCAGACTGTGTGTTTGAGGGTGAGCCGATGCAGGATGCTGCATTCTCCAGGTTCAGCAGCTCAGATGTGCACTCTGCATCCTCACCAGCCCATGGGGAAGTGTTCTTCAGGTTTGAATTACTCCAGGGGGATAGATAACAACACTGTAATTAGGTTTGCACCTTTGGAATCTTGTGTTTCTTTTGCAGTTAGAATACTGATGCAATCACAGAGCTCAGCGTGTCCCAGATCCCCACATTAGTTATTTATTGCTGTTCAGCAGTGCCTGCAGTTGTTAAATCACAACAGTTTTGATAAAAAAATAAGTATAAAAACCCTGCCTCAAGCCCAGAAATGATTTTTGCTCCTCTCCCCGAAGCTTCGAGCCCTTGTCTTGGATCATTTCTAGTTAGAAGCCCTGGGGATCTGTTAGCTCCAAATTCATGATGTGCTGTACAAACCCGCACCGTTTGTTTCTCTAAAGGAAATCAAGACTTGGCCAAAGTGGGAACCAGGGATTTCCTGCTGAAAAGCCTTGAACCCAGGTTACTGCAGTGATAGATTTCAGGCCTGGACAAAGTGTCCCTGTTGGTACAGGGTTGGGGTCCCTGGGAAACTGGGCCCCTGAGCATTGCTGGGAAAGCCCTGCCAGAGGGAAGTCAAGTTCCATCTCCCACAGAGGCACCAGTAACCTCCGTGTGATAACAAATTCCAGCAACACCAG